CTGCCGTCCACACAGGCGCAGTCGCACGCAAGGCTGCGACGCGCAGTGCACCTGGCCCAGCGCAACATGTGGAAGGACAAGCGTGCTTGCGACACGTCGCGGCGGACACAGCGTAGCCTGGCTCATACACAGCATGGCGGAAGCAGCAACACACTGCACAACCACACATCTAAGAAAATACGACAGGTTTGTTCGCGAGAAGGCGCACGGGCACATCATAGGACGTCACAGCGCCACACTCTCTGGCACGGCACGGAGGCAATGACATGCGCGCAGGCCGGTCGGTTGTGAAGACGGCAAGGCGGTCACAACGCAGCACGGCGAAACAAGCACTTTGAGAAGAAATGTATGCGCTAGCCCCCAGAACGTCTGCGCTCCTTCTGGATTGCTGCCTATTGCTGTCGTTTGCTGCCGCTCCTTAGGCCCTCTGGGACAGTCTTCCGGGTCCCTGGCCTTCTCAGGAGCCTTCGGGCCGTCTGAGCTGCTCCAGGGGTGCTTGGGCCCGCACTCGGGTCATGGCCACTTTTCGCACGCACGCGGGCCTGCCATGTAGAGATGATGTTGGGCTTCAACTTCACCTCGCGCATCTCGCTGAGCAGCGCCAAAGCCCGTTGCCACTGCTTGCCCTGAGCGCAGGCATTGACCCCAGCGCTGTAGCTGAAGACATCGCGCTCCAAACTCGCCTCACACATCTCGCTAAGCAGCACCAAAGCCTGCTGCCACTGCTTGCCCAGAGCGCACGCGCTGATGCCAGCATTGCAGCTGATGGCGCTGGGCTCAAGCTTCTCCTCCCGCATCTCGCTGAGAAGGACCAAAGTCCGTTGCCACTGCATGCCCTGAGTGCAGGCGTTGACCCCAGCGTTGTAGCTGATGACGTTGGGTTCCAACTTCGCAACCCGCATCTCGGTGAGCAGAGCCATGGCCCGGTGCCACTGCTCGCCCTGGGCACAGGCGTTGACCCCAGCGCTGTAGCTGAAGACATCGGGCTCCAACTCCGCCTCCCGCAGCTCAGCAAGTAGCGCAAAAACCCGCTGCCACTGCTCGCCCTGAGCGCACGCGCTCATCCCGGCATTATAGCTAATTGCGCTGGGTTCCAACTTATCCTCCCACATCTTGCCGAGCAGCACCAAAGCCTGCTGCCACTTCTCGCCCTGGGCGCACGCAGTGATCCCAGCGTTGCAGCTGATGACACCGGGCTGCAAGTTCGCCTCGCGCATCTCGCTGAGCAGCGCCAAAGCCCATTGCCACTGCTTGCCCTGAGCGCAGGCGTTGACCCCAGCGCTGTAACTCATGACGTCTGCTTCCAACTTCGCCTTCCAAATTCGCTAGCCCCTCCGGGGCTTCCAAACGTGTGAGATTGTTTCCCCCCTTACTCCCAGGCAAGGGGGTCGAGTTCGCCAGAAGAATTAGCCTGGGTGCCGCCTTCCGTAGAGCCCCCCGTGGGACCACGAAACGTGTGAGGCGTGTGTCGAGTCGGGGACGGGTACGCCACGTGAGCGCAACCGCTGGGGCCTTTGGTGGAGCTCCCTATGGTGCCACGAAGCGTGTGAAAAGGTACGCCAAATGGGGTGCGGGTACGCCGTGTGAGCCCAGCCATTTGAGCATTCTGTGGAGCTCACTCTCATGAGGCCACGAAACAAGTGAGGGTTGTCCCGAGTCGGGGACGGGTATGACATTTGAGCGCAGCAACTGGAGATTTCGGTGGAGCTCCCTATGGGGCCATGAGGAATGTGAGGGGTGTGCCGAATCGGCAGCAGGTGCGCCATGTGAGTGCAACCGCTGGGGCCTTTGGGAGGTTTCCCAAGGGAGCCAGGAAGCGCGTGATGTGTGTGCCGAATCGGGAACGGGTGCGCCATGTGAGCGCAGCCACTGGGGGCCTTCGGCGGAGCTCCCTGTGGGGCCACGAAAAGTGTGATGTACGGGTGCCGACTCGGGGGCGGATGCGCCACGTGAACGCAGCCGCTGGGGCCTCCAGCGTAACTCCCTGTGAAGCCACGCAACGTCTGAGGGGTGTGCCGAATCGAATTCGGGTACGCTGTGCAAGCGGAAAAACTAAGGACTTCGGTCCCGGGGAGGGGGGTGGCACGCGAACTTGGACACTGGGACCTCCAATGGAACCTCCTATGGGGCCACGAAGCGTGTGAAGGGTGTGCCGGAATGGGCGACGGGAACGCATGCAAACTTTGCCACTGGGGCCTTCGGCATAGCCCCCTTATGGGGCTACGAAGCGCGTGAGGGGTGTGCGAAGTGGGCGGCGGGAGCGCAAGCGAACTTTGCCACTGGGGCCTTCGGCGGAGCTTCCTATGGTACCGTGAAGCGAGTGAGGAGTGTGCCAAAATGGGCGGCGGGAGCGCGTGCGACCTTTGCAACTGGGGCCTTCGGCGGAGTTCCAATGGAACCACGATGCGCGTGAGGTGTTTGCCGATTCGGGCGGCGGGAGCGCGTGTGAACTTTGCCACTTCGGGCCCTTGGCGGAGCTTCATATGGTACCACGGAGCGAGTGAGGAGTGTGCCGAAACGGGCGGCGGGAGCGCGTGCGACCTTTGCCACTGGGGCCTTCGGCGGAGCTCCCTATGGGGCCACGAAGCGTGTGGGGTTTGTCGACATGGGCGGCGGTAGCGCAAGGTGACTTTGCCACTGGGGACTATGGGGCCACGAAGCGTGTTAGGGGTGTGCAGATATGGGCGGCCGGAGGAACGCATGCGAACTTTGCAACTGGAGCCTCCGGTGGCGCCGCTTATGGGGCCTCGAAACATATGAGGGGTGTGCCGACATGAGATGCGGGAGCTGGTAACGCTAACTAATGTGAGGATGATGCTGAAGATTACGATGAGGGAGGACAGAGGAGGGGAGGAGGAGGTGAGAAGTGATGCGGGGCGCTGCTGATTCAAAACGAGGAACCAACACCACAGGATGGTTTGAAGAAATCGCAGCGAAGTAATTCAACCACCCCAATTGGCAATTAGGCCACGGGGGATCGAGGCCCACTGTCCAATTGGTAATCTGCGACGGGTGGGACTCCCCCGATTGCCAATTTGACAGTGGGCCCGAATGTCAAATCAGCAATCTGGGCTGCGTTCTCCCGCCCCAGCTCGGTCCCCCCGACTTGGGATTTAACAATGGGGACTCATTGTCAAATGGGCAAATCGGGGATCCGTTCCCCCGCCCCTGCCAGCCCCGCCCAACTGCCCATCCCAATGTCCGCCGACCCCTTTGGGGTCTTAGAGACGTGTGGGATTCCCCCTCCTGTAGCACCCGCTGGCAGACAAGGGGCAGCATCGCCGCGAAAAGTACCGAGCGAACTGGATTCCAGACCTTCCGACTCCCTGACTGCAAGGGGTTCGAACCGTGCCCCCCCCCCTCACCTGGCCAGGGGGGGGGGAGAGTCGAAGCGTGGGGGCCCCAGGGGGGGGGGGGAGCGAATCGTGAGGCCCCCATTTGACAATGGGGGCCACTTGTCGTATGGTTCGTCGGGGTACCCTGTGGACCATTTGATAAAAGTGGCCCCCCACTGTCAGGTGGGCGATCGGAGCTCCATCCTCCGCCCTCGGCCCGGTCCCCACGATTGCCCATCTGACAACGGGACGTCGTTGTCAAACGGGTAATCCGACTTCGTTGGCCGCCCAGACTCGGGTCGGGCGAAAGGGGGGGATAGCAAAAGGGGGGTTTGAGAATCAGCTCACGTAGCTGATTCTCACGTAGCTGATTTTCACGGCTGAATGGGCCCCTCGATGAGGCCGAAACCAGCTGCATGCAGCAAATTTCGTAACCCCCCCTTTCCCAATCCCCCCCCTTTCGCCCGACCCGACAGACCTGGCCCCCCGACGGGCTATCTGACAATGGGGCCCCACTGTCAAATGGGCGTCCAGGCTCACCCCCCCTTCCCTGGCTGGGCCCCCCCCGAGTGCACATGTGACAGTAGGGCCCCACTGTCAAATGGCTCATCGGGGGGCAGGCGCGGGCGGCGAACAAGTCATACTGCCCATTTGACACTGGGGGGCCCTTTGTCGGAAAGGCTGCCTCGATCGCAAAATCATCGCGCAGCTTTGTGGCAACGGGACCCCGGCAAAATGCAACTGGATGCCAGCGGTGAACTGTCGACCTGGTTGCCGCCTGGAACCTCGTAGAGTTCATTGCGCGTGTTTTCATGCTCGCGAGCCATGAGTCGTTGCACATCAACTCTGCAGAACGCATCCAGGCAAACTCACAAACATAAACGTTCATGTGACATACCGCTGGTTCCCGCTAGTCATCCCGCGCGAGGTTCCCGCTACAGCCTTTCAGATTGCACCAAACGAAGCGCAATGACCCAAAGCCAGAATGAAATGTTGGATCTTGCTCAGTCTTGCAAGAAACGAGCCCAGGTTACCACATCATCCTGTCTAGTCGGACCGAAGATGCCCTCAATGCGCCTCAAAGCGCAACACGCCCCAATATTGCCCTACGAGTTCCTCCAAAACCGCCCCAATAGCTAGAACGCCTTATCAAGTGTATAGGAAGTTCGGACGGACTTCAGCGTTCTCGCCTTGTCAGACTTCCGACAGCCCCAAACGGCCCTGGACCCTCCCCAAATCGCTCCAAGACGGCCCCCCAAAAAACCCAAGAGGGCCCCAGAACATCCCAGAAAGGCCCGAAGGCAGCGCAAGAAATTCCCGAGACAGTTTCAGAGAATGGAACCCCCGGCAGGTATAGCGCAAGCCTTCGAAATCGGCCTTGGTGGCGAAAGCGTTCGGGCGGATACGACGCAAGCTCTCAGAGTTGGCTGATTCGTCGTATGCCTTGGGGACCACATACAGCTATGAATTTGATGGGGTCGGCGGATGCGGTGTAAACCTGTCGAAGCAAATTGACAGTCGGGGCTCCATTCCGCCGCTCCCGCTGGACACCCGGATTGCTCGTTTGATGCTGGTGGTCCGTTGTCAGAGTGGCAATCGGAGCCGATGCGACGGCCCCCGAGACTGGCCCATCCCGATTGCCCCTTTGAGCGTGGGGCTCTGGTGTTACATTCGCCGACCCTTTGGGGTCTCCTCGGCGTGTGGGACTGTTGCCACTCACAGGGGACAATTTGGACTGCCCCGCGAGGACCCCAGAGGACGAACCAGAACGGACATTTCGAACCTTCGGGCCCCAGACGCCCCACGGCCTCAGGCCAAGAGCGTTCCAAGATAACCCACGTTGGTCCCAAGACGGCCCAAGAAGCGCCCAAGACGCTCCAGGAGGGTTCCAAGAGGACTTCCAGAGGCTCCGAAAACGCAAAAATCATTGATTTCGCAAAGATTTTCTGACGATTTTGGCGCTACCGCCTTTTCGAGCTGCCGACCGCCCTGGACGGCCCAAAAGGCCCAATCTCGCTCCAAGACGGCCTACAAAGCCTCCAATGGGGCTCTCGAATAACCCAAGATGATCCCCTGACGGCCCAAGACGCCTCCAACGCGGCCCCAGGATGGCCCCAATAGGGGCCCAGAGCGGGAACCCGAACAAACATTTCGGGCTCTCGGCCCCAAGAGGCGCCCAGGAAGACCCCGGAGGCCTCCCAAAGCCCCCGAAGAGACCACAAGAAGCCCCCAGGAGGCTCCAAAGAGGCTCCCACGACTCCCAACACTCCCCCATGAAGCCCCCCAAATCCCCAAGAAGCCCCCAAGAGGCCCCCCAAAGGCCTCACAACTGCTCCCCAGAGGCTCCTTCCGAAAAGACCCCAAGAGGCATGCATGATGTGTTTGACCCACAAACCATGCACGTCCCGAAATTCAGCTGGAGCTCTCTTGAGCCGTTTAAGCGCCCTCTGAGGCAGTCGACCGACTCTCTTCGACAGGGTGTGAGCCACATCTCCGAAGGTCTCCTCGAATACCGTCCTGCCTGCCCTACCGTTCCCCCTGGGCAAGAGAACGCCACCACGCAGATGCAGTGATGCGAAGTGGGCCGACGGAGTGACCGAAGCGATTAGAAACATAGTAGTAGTGATAGTGATAGTGATAGTGATAGTGGTAGTGGTAGTGGTAGTGGTAGTGATAGTGATAGTGATAGTGCTAGCAGTAGTAGTAGTAGTAGTAGTAGTAGTAGTAGTAGTAGTAGTAGTAGTAGTCGTAGTAGTCGTAGTAGTGGTAGTGGTCGTGGTCGTGGTCGTGGTAGTAGTAGTAGCAGTAATAATGGTCGTAGCAGGAGTCGTAGTGGCAGTAGTAGTAGAAGTAGTAGTCGTACTAGCGATAATAGCAATAGTAGCAGAAGTAGTCGTAGTAAAGATTGTAGTTGTAGTGGTAGCAGTCGTTATCGTGAGAGTAGTCGTAGTCGTCGTGGTACTTAACACAATAATAACAAGTAGAGGCCGTGCTAGTGCGAGAAGAAGCAGTAGTAGCAGTAGTACTCGTCGTCGTAGTAGCAGCAGTAGTAGTAGTAGCAGTAGTAGTAGTAGTAGTAGTAGTAGTAGTAGTAGTAGTAGTAGTAGTAGTATTAGCCGTAGTAGTTCGTCATACTTGTAGTAGTTGTAGCAGTACTGGTCATCATCGTAGTGATCGTAGTGGTAGTAGAAATAATGGTAGTAGTGGTAGTAATAGTAATAGTATTAGTATTAGTATGAGTCGTAGTAGTAGTAGTAGTAGTAGTAGTAGTAGTAGTAGTAGTAGTAGTAGTAGTAGTGGTAGTAGTATTAGTAATAACAATAGTAGTCGTAGTAGTAGTCGTGGTAGTAGTAGTAATCGTAGTAGTAATCGTAGTAGTAGTAGCCTTAGTCGTAGTAGTAGTAGTAGTAGTAGTAGTAGTAGTAGTAGTAATCGTGGCAGTAGTCGTTGAAATAGTAATCGTAATCATAATCCTAGTAGCGATAGTAATAGGAATAGTCGTAGTAGTCGTACTACTAATAGCAGTAGTAGTAGTAGTAGTAGTAGTAGTAGTAGTAGTAGTAGAGGTAATAAAGGTAACACCATAGCAGTAGTAGTAATATTAGTCGCCATCGTAGCAATACCAGTAGTAATAATCGGCGTGGAAGCCGTATCGATCGTCGTAGTAGCTGTACCATTATTCGTAGTAGTAGTAGTCGTCGTCGTAGTAGCAAGGGCAGTCGTAGTAGTAATCATAGTAAAGGTACTCGTCGTAGTAGTTGTAGTAGTAGTAGAAGTAGTACCAGTAGTAGTAGTAGGAGTAGTAGTAGTCGTCGTCGTGATAAGCGTAGTGGTAGTAGTAGTAGTAGTAGTAAGTAGTAGTAGTAGTCGTAGTAGTTGTAGTAGTAGTAGTAGTAGTAGTAGTAGTAGTAGTAGTAGTAGTAGTAGTAATCGTAGTAGTAGTAGTAGTAGTAGTAGTAGTAGTAGTAGTAGTAGTAGTCGTAGTAGTAGTAGTAGCAGTAGCGTTAGTACGACATGACCTAGTGGTAGTAGTAGTAGTAGTAGTAGTAGTAGTAGTAGTAGTAGTAGTAGTAGTATGAATACTCGTACTAATACTTGTACTCGTAACCACAGAACTTATCGTAGTATATCGTAGCCGTAGTCGTAGTCGTAAAAGTGCAAGCGGACATCGCAGTAGCGGTAGCATTAATAGTAAGCGTAGCAGGAGTAATGATACTCGCAGTAGTAGTAGTAGTAGTAGTAGTAGTAGTAGTAGTCGTAGTCGTAGTCGTAGTCGTAGTCGTAGTAGTAGTAGTAGTAGTAGTAGTAGTAGTAGTAGTGTAATAGTAGTAGTAGTAGTAGTAGTAGTAGTAGTAGTAGTAGTAGTAGTAGTCGTAGTCGTAGTCGTAGTCGTAGTAGTAGTCGTAGTAGTAGTAGTAGTAGTAGTAGTAGTAGTAGTAGTAGTAGTAGTAGTAGTAGTAGTAGTAGTAGTAGTAGTAGTAGTAGTAGTAGTAGTAGTAGTAGTAGTAGTAGTAGTAGTAGTAGTAGTAGTAGTAGTAGTAGTAGTAGTAGTAGTAGTAGTAGTACTGGTAGTAGTAGTAGTAGTAGTAGTAGTAGTAGTAGTAGGAGTGATCGTGGTAGTAGCGCAAGTCATCGTAACACTAATATTAAAGGTAGGAGTGGTAGTAATAGTCGTAGTATTCGCGAGTAGTCGTAGTGGTCGTAGTAAAAATAATCGTAGTCGTAGTAGCACAAGAAATAGTAGTAGGACGAATCGCCGTAGCAATATTCATTGTAGTCGTACGAATAGTAGTAGTACGAATAGTAGTAGTAGTAGTAGTAGTAGTAGTAGTAGTAGTAGTCGTAGTAGTAGTAGTAGTAGTGATAGTATTAGTAGTAGTAGTAGCAGTAGTAGTTGTAATAGTAGTAGTAGTAGTAGTAGTAGTAGTAGTAGTAGTAGTAGTAGTAGTATTCGTAGTAGTAGTAGTAGTAGCAGTAGTGGTAGTAGTAGTAGTAGTAGTAGTGGTAGTAGTAGTAGTAGTAGTAGTAGTAGTAGTAGTAATAGTATTCGTCGTAGTACTCGTAGTTTAAAAATAATAGCGGTGGTAATGCTAGCTGTGGTCGTAATCGTAATTGTAGTAGTAGTAGTAGTAGTAGTAGTAGTAGTAGTAGTAGTAGAAGTAGTAGTAGTAGTCGTAGTCGAAGTAGTAGTCGTAGTAGTAGTAGTAGTAGTAGTAGTAGTAGTAGTAGTAGTCGTAGTAGTGGTAGTAATCGTAGTAGTCGTAGTGGTGGTAGTGGTAGTAGTGGTTGTGGTAACAGTGGTGGAAAAAGTAGTAGTAGTAGTAGTAGTAGTAGTAGTAGTAGTAGTAGTAGTAGTGGTAGTAACAATAGGGGGGAAGGAGTAGGCGTGGTATTGCCAATCGTACTAGTAGTAATAACAGTCGTAGTAGTAGTAGTAGTAGTAGTAGTAGTAGTAGTAGTAGTAGTAGTAGTAGTAGTAGTACTCATCGTGAATCGTAGTAATAATAGTAGTAGTAATACTAGTCGTAGTCGCAGTAGCAGTGATCGTGGTACTGGTAGTAGTAGTAGTAGTAGTAGTCGTAGTAGTAGGAGTAGTAGTAGTAGTAGTAGTCGTAGTAGTAGTAGTAGTAGTAGTAGTAGTAGTAGTAATGAACATCTTTTAGTAGTAGCAATAGTAGTCGTAGTCGTAGTAGTAGTAGTAGTAGTAGTAGTAGTAGTAGTAGGAGTAGTAGTAGTAGTCGCAGTAGTAGGAGTCGTAGTACTAGCCGTCGTAGTAGTGATGGCAGTCGTAGTAGTAGTAGTAATAGTAGTAGTAGTAGTAGTAGTAGTAGTAGTAGTAGTAGTAGTGGTAGTAAACGTAGAAATAAACATAAAAATAATCAGGAACGTAATCGTCATAGCCGTGGTAGTAGTAGTAGTAGCTAGCAGTCGTAGTAGCAGTAGTGGCAACAGTGGTTGTAGTAATGGTAGTATTAGAAGTAGTAGTCGTAGTAGTGGCAACCGAAATAATAGTAGCACAGTACATGCAACTACAATAATACTAGCAGTGGTGGTAGTAGTAGTAGTAATCGTTGTAGTAGTAGTCATCGTAGTAGTAGTAGTAGTAGTAGTAGTAGTCGTAGTAGTAATAGTAGTAGTAGTAGTAGTAGTAGTAGTAGTAGTAGGTAATAGCAGGCGTAGTAGTAGTAGTAGTAGTAGTAGTAGTAGTAGTAGTAGTAGTAGTAGTCGTAGTCGTAGTAGTAGTAGTAGAGTAGTAGCCGTAGTAGTAGTAGTAGTAGTAGTAGTAGTAGTAGTAGTAGTAGTAGTAGTAGTAGTAAGTGGTCGTAGTAGTAGTAGTAGTAGTAGTAGTCGTAGTAGTAGTAGTAGTAGTAGTAGTAGTAGTAATCGTAGTCGTGGGACTAGTAGTAGTAGTAGTAGTAGTAGTAGTAGAAGTAGTAGTAGTAGTAGTAGTAGTCGTAGCTGTAGTTAGTAGTAGTAGTAGTAGTAGTAGTAGTAGTAGTAGTATAGTAGTAGTAGTCGTAGTAGTAGTAGTAGTAGTAGTAAAGTACTAGTAATAAACAGAGTAGTAGGAGTCGTAGTAGTCGTGGTAGTAGCCGTAGTAGTAGTAGTAGTAGTCGTCGTCGTCGTCGTCGTCGTCGTCGTCGTCGTCGTCGTCGTAGTAGTAGTCGTAGTAGTAGTAG